GGGTTGCTATCGTTCGTTCGCACATCTTTATAAATCTCGTAATAATTAATTGTTCCTTCTTTGTGCCTACTTTAGTAATCGCCGAATCACAGTCGTACGCAATATGAAGTAAAATCGGAGTGATTAGGTCTTTTATTACTTTATGTTATCTTTCCCACTTGTGTACACATGGAGTGGGTTAGCGTCTGGGAGAAAAAGAGATCGGAAATGAGATAGCACTTTCTCACTATGCGCACATATGATTTTTTTCGGAAATAAGTTAAATATTTTTAAGGAACTGTAAGTTTTATTAGCTGAGAGCAATTCATATACACTTTCCGGAACTAAACGCTACAATGATGTTAGCATTGATAACTGTCTTATACAATATCTGATTTTTAAAAGCTCAACTAGTAGGATCTAACGTTCTTTTGATTTATATTGTGTTTCTTGTTATTGATTGTCATCGATTTCAAATCTAATCAAATTTAATCTGATATTGCTGAAAGTACCCAGACAGCACACATGTCTAAAAGACATCTTTAAGACGCCATTATTTTAGACATGTACGTCTAAAAGGTGTCTTAAAGATATCTTTATGGCGCCTTTTAGACATGTGTGCTGTCTGGGTAATATTTGAGCAAAAGTGGGGAAAAATAATCTAAAGCCAAGCTTTATCTGATATATTTCAATAACAGTTATCAATTTGTTTCCGTTTTTATTTCGTAAGTTTTTTATCGCATTACTTTAAAAACTAGTTTATACTATATTAAATCTATTTATTTTAAAATGTATAATTCACGTTTGCTCTTTCTAAAGTAACAGGTGGAAAGAGACAAAGATAAATTAAGTTATACCTAAACTGCATAACTAATACTTCAAACACATGATTTCATGCGACTTCTCGTGTTAATTCATTGAAGCTACACTACAGAAACATAATTTATTAATTATTGTTTTATGATTCAGTAGTTTTAAATCCAAAGTACGATTGCTCGCGTTAGAGCAAGAATTACAAGAGCTTAGGGAACAAATTTCGACAATTGTGAAAAATAATAAATTGCAAAATGTATGTAATCTGTATTTTATTATGCTCAAAGATATTCTAGGAGAGATTTAAAGATTTATGTTTGGTTTGTAGATGCATCTGTCGCGTCTCTGCCCAATAAGAAGAATATTTTTTATATTAGTGAGCAATCACGTTCAATAGATATATCTGTATTTATTGAATGTAATTGCATATGACAAAATTATTTTATTCTCATACAGCGCTAGAAAGGAACGATTTCTCATTTGTAAATATTTTTTTCTTAAATTTAAGGGCTCGAAGGTATTCCAGATAACTAGAAAAGAGCCACTCTGTACAGACATATTTTAATTTGCGAACATATCTCGCAGTTGCTTTTTCGCAATTTTGCCTGTAGCTGTACGCGGGAGTTTGTCGAGGAATTTAATTTCTTGAAGCTTGCAGTGTGCCGGCAGATTTTTCGCTACTAAGTCGTGGAGCTCCTCCTCCGTTGCCTATAATTGAAACATTCATCTCATGAATGTAATGAAACATATGAATTTTGTATAATACGCTAATCTTTTGTTCGTGTTTCTGCCTGAAATGAACAGTCTTGTGATTTTTACCGTTTTACCCGGTATACAGGAAACGACAGCCATTGGATATTCACCCGCAATTTCGTGAGGTATTCCTATTACCGCTACTTGGGATATTGCTGGATGAAATTCTAAAACATACTCGATTTCTGCGGTTGAAATATTAAGGCTATGAATAATAAGGAACTCGGATATTCTATCGACGATAAAAACATTCCCGTCATCATCATAATATCCTATGTCACCAGTGCATAACCAACCTGAAATGTTTCACGTTTCTGTATTTGATTAAACCTCCATTACAATGTCTTTGTAATTTATATATTACAGTTTTTGTTAAGTGATTATTTCGGCCCATTGTTTGATATTCAAATCAGTTGCATACCATCAGAATCAAAAGCTCGTTTAGTTTCTTCAGGTCTCTTATAATAACCATTCATTACGCAAGGCAATTTACACCGCAGTTCTCCATTTTGATTAGCTTCCAATGCTTTCCCAGTTTCTACGTCAAAGACTTTTAGTTGGACGTTTGGTGCTACAAAACCAGCAGATCCTGCTTTGCAGTTTCTGACCCCAACGGTTATATCGCCTCCTGAGTCTGTGGCTCCTGCAAAGTACATTTGTAGTACTCGTCGAAAAATGATACGAAATATAATAGTCATGTAATATTTTTTAATTATATCGACTTATACCGTAGGTATTCGTAACAAAAGCATGAGGTAATTTCTTTGCCAAGGCTAGATGATGTTTCTTTTTGAAGTGAGCACCGGTATTCATCACTTCCTTTAAGGTCAACAATGGATAGTTCTCCAGTAGATCGCTCTTAGAGAGTCGGGTTAGTATGCCTGGGTCGGTACACAACCACGTTACCTTACAGTCAAAGGGCAATATTGATCATTAATTTTTCATTTAATTCATCTGTGAAGTCAATTATACAATAGACTTGAAATCGTTTGTGTGAGTTAAAGCGTACTTGATATTTCTCGATTAATTTGCACATTGTTTCGTCATCATCATTGTGTACTAGACTACAAGGTAAAAGAATTTTCGTCGCATATGCTAAGATTGCATGGAATGCGAGTTGGACGCCATAGTGCCAGCGGAACGTGGGTGTCCATAGACAAGTATGACCTTCTAATTCCGTGACTTTTGCGGAATGTAGGCAATTATATAAGGACGAGTGCGATATCTCGGTACCCTTTGGCATGCCCGTTGTACCTGATGAGAGAGCGATAAGAGCAACATCGCTCGGGCTGCTGATCTTCGTGCATTTAAATTCGGTGATCTCGCAAATATCGTGTCCTCTCAAGATATCTTCTACGCATTCGTATCCATTTAATTTATGGAATACCACTATTTTCAAATTTATTTTTAACTCTTTCACTGCTTCTTCTAAGCACGGAACCGCTGATGGTATCGCAAAAATTATTTTCGGTGATGTTAATGAAAGAAAGTATCGTGCTGTCACTAAACAAATGTAAATAACTAAGTAAATAATATATGCTTCAGTGACTTACTTATACAGATTATAAGTTTGTTTAAATGTAGTAGATGTATTTACATATCTATATTTTTACCCATGATTTTATAGCCACATACGACTACAAGAAAAATAATAGATATATGGACATGTAAAAACATACTTGGAGACAATTCATATTCCCAAGGATTGGATATGGCGCTTATGTACATAGTGCCCAATATAATTGTTATTCCGTCCATGTCATTATCACAGCAAAGACCGATTATATCGCCAGGTTTTATGCCTTGCTTCTGTAACCAAAGGGCGCATTTAATACTACGCTCACTCATGTCGGCATAAGTGTCTTGTTTGCCCGAACATGTATCTATCTGTAGAATCAAAACGTTTTATCGAATGTTTAAATCCTTATTTATGTAAAGCATTTTATGCATGCCGAAAATTAGTAATGATACAACCGTTTCGCATTAGTAGCGCAGATTTATGTTTAACGCAAAAGATACGTTTGTTGAAATACCTGGCCGATGCAGTTCGGTTTGCTCTTTAACGTCTTAAGTAGTACCTCGGATATATTAATAGGTTCTTTATTTATTGGTACTTCTTTTCCTGTTAAAATATTATCTTGTATTCTGAATTCACGAATAGCATCGTGATAATGGAGTTTCTGGAAATTTTACATAAAATTGTATTAGGTTCAATTTGTAAAAAAAAAAAGAAATACAAAAAGTAAAATGAAAAATAATAAATATTTATTTTGGGAAATTCTTTCTATCCTCTCTTAATAATTTTAACGTAGGAATTTCTTCAGGATTAGGCCTCAAATAATCTCTAAAAATTTTATTCATTAATTAACTGCAGAAACTGAGCAGACTTTGCGGTTTTCTAAGTATTTAAATATTTACAAAATTGCAGATTCTTTGTCAGTTTCTGCAGTTAATCTGCTATTATATTCTGTTAACAGAATCCTGCCATATTTCCGCTGACATTCTATCGACACAATTTGTAACAGACACTTTCAAAATTGGTTTGTGAAATTTATGAGCTATAAAAGATCTCTCAAATCACGTAAGTAAATCTGCTGCTAATTATTTGTCAGATTGCATGTAATTTGTTTATTGAGCAATACTTGATAACAACGAAGGTACTTTACTTATTAGCTGCGTTCGGTATTGCAAATCTGAGGTGTCGGAGTGTTCTTTTGTGTTCGAGTGAACAAGAGAGAATTTATGAAATAGGAAAAGAGGAAGTGCATTCCAACGCCTCCAATTTTCAATGCCAATGCCAAGTGCATAAAAGTATAATAATCTTTCAAATATAAGTACAAATTCTTTTCGGGCACCTATATGGAAATATTAATTAACCACATTCCTGTGTGATAAATTGTGTAAGTATGAACACTTTAGAGAACTATCGTGTCGTAAGAATTATTTTTTACGAATATACGAAGCAAACAGATTTGCGAATATTCTATCTATCAAAATTACTAGTTGTTGTTAGTTATAGAGTATTAATAAGTACATGTGATGAAAATATATTTTTATATAAATATTTTTAAATAAATATCTTCTTTAAATATCTTTTTACTTTTCTGACGGTTGCTGTTGTTCGTTCACACATCTTTATAAATCTCCCAGTAATTAATTGTTCTTTCTGATGGTATCGGGATTAAGCAGAACGTGACTCGGTGTGAAATAAAAGTGTCAATGTAACAAAAGAGTTCACTCTTTACTTAAGTTTCAGATTCACATTCCACGCACGAAAAAGACACAAATTATACGGTATAACACATAAAGAATTGCCCAATGACTCGAAAAACCGCGCGCGTACTTTTCTCTCTCAGAAGATATCGGAGTGGCCAGTCGTGGAGTTTTTCAGCCTGCCTTTATACCTAGAATGCTTCTAGAAACTTCGGCTAACGGGAAATTGCAACAAGAACAAGTAACAATTTATTTTCAAGATAAATTTGCTATTTTTCGTTCGCTCGATTGGTCGAGGAGATTAAACGCGGGCTGCCGTCATTGGCGCACGCTATTGCCTAACTGAGCGTGTCAGCACGCGCTATATTCAACTTGGGTAAGCACGACTCATCAATTAACTAATAAATCTTAGTAAATTACTAAAATAATAATTTATTAAAATGCTACTGTTTGCTGCCCATGAAAAGTCAGCTCTAAAGGCCTGTGTCCACGATGCTAGAACTTGGTCCAAGTTCTAGTTTCGAGAAATGTGTAGTCAATCAACTTGCAGCTTTTATGGAATAGCTGCAGGTTGATTGACTACACACTTCTTGAAACTAGAGGCTTGTTTTCTGTTGCTACACTAGTGAACTAGTGCAATAAGTTAGAGTAGGACA